CTGTGGGTAAAGCGAGGCAGGCCCTGCACCCCCCTGGAGCCCGCCCCTCCTTGCCTGCCGGGCGCCGGGGGAGGCCAGGACCGCGCCCGGGACGGGCTCCCCTTGCACAGGGGGGAGCCCCGCCGCGCCGGCCCAGCGGCGACGTGGTGTCCGATCACGGGACACCCCGGTAGATGTCACCACTGGGAAGTGCTGCAGGCGCCTCCCCCCCAGATCCCCGCAGCCATGAGCCCAGCCGCTCTCAGGATGGGGCAGCCCCAGCTCCTGCCCTGGCCCTGCAGGAGCACCCCGCACAGGCCTCTAAGCACCCCCTTCCGTGGTGCTCTCCAAGGGCCACGGGCAGTGCCTCGGATTGGTCACCAGAGGTGCGGGCGAGACCCCTGGGCAGCCCCCTGTGCCCACCTAGGTTCTCACAGACCCCGCGCTCCCGCTCAGACCTGCAGACCTTGAATTCCTTCTGGCCCTGGGGTTTAGGCAGCTGCCTCCCCCAAACTAGAGCGAGCCAGGTCCCGTAGGCCTAGAGAAAGCCAGGGGGTGCCGGGTCTGGGGGACATGAGACGACTTGGGTGGAAGTTCTGCACGATTGTCACGTGGCCTGCCAGCCCAGCCCGAGCAGGGGTCCAGTTGACAGTGGCAGGCAGTGGCCTCCCATTCCTCTCTGGTGCTCTCCCCAGTTCTGGGGGTTTTGGCATGGGGGGAGGTGATGTGGTCAACTTGTAGCTAGTGAACTGAATCACAATTTATTGAAAACACCATGTTTTTGTGTGTGTGACTGGTAAAGGCATCGGAACCCTTGGCTTGGTGTCGCCCGCACCACGCTCAGCCAGTGAGCGCACCGGCCATCCCACGGGTTCGGCCCGAAAACACCATTTTTAATTACCCTGAGCCTACTTAGCCTGTGTCCTTCATTTCCTGAGGACTGAGGACTTTCCTACCCTCTGGGGGATGTAGAGATGGCCTCTCTGCCCACACTGTGGCAATACTATCTGCCTCCACCTCTCCTGAGCAGCAGGTGAGGTGGCTGTCCTGCCGTAGCTGGGGTCTGTCTCCTGGCAGGGATTGGCGCCCCAAGTCACAGGATAAGCATATCTCTGAGCCTCGCCACTAGCCTGTTTGTTTCTTGAGTCCTTCATCAGTCCTTTCTAAAGGCCAGCCTTGTGGGTCAACAGCCCGCGCTCCCCAAGTTGATGCTGGGGATTTGGGAACTGGCCACCACGCTGGGCAGACCCGTGCAGTCAGGAAGGGCTGTGGGGATCTCCGTGTCCCCAGCAGTGACTGCAAGTAGCTGCCTACTTCCTTGTCTGCCCTTGGTGAAGTGCATGGACACATGGGGCCTACGGGGCTGGCCTCTCGGGACCCCCATGCCTGAAATGTATGACATGGACCTGAATCTCTCCTGAACAGATACCCTCTGTACCAGCTGGGCGGCCCCCAACTCCGCGTATTTCGAACCAACTTCTTCATTCAGCTGGTGCGGCCAGGCACGGAACAGCCCGAGGACACAGTGCAGTTCCGGATCCCCATGGAGTAAGCGCAGAAGGAATTCAGGCTGGGGGTGCCTCAGGGGCTTGAATCCTGGCATATTCCCTGACTCAGCTCACGAGGTCGAGGTCGGCTTCTTCCCCTCTGCAGGCTCCTCAGGCAGCCCTGCTCAGCAGGCGCTGAGGAGGGCCTGTTGTTTGCAGAGACTGGGGAGCGGGGGGCTGCTCTTGGCAGGCTTCTTGGCTGCACCCTGCAACCGGGGAAGGCTTAAGCCAGAGCCTGAGACTTGGGCTTGCTTCCTTGCCCTCATCTTTGTTGAATCCTTGCCTCAATCCTCTTCCCAGGACAGGCGTCCCATGAGGCTGGGTGGGAGTGCGCTGCGATTCACAGAGCTGCCCAGGGTCCCTTCCAAAATGCCGGTTCTTGCACTGCATGCTGCAGACTGCCAAGTTCTCTGTGCTGCTTCATCTTTAGGGAGATATTTGGTCCCCCCAAACAAAACTAGGACTGGCTCTGAAGTCTCAAGATCCCAGGTCACCCGCTCAGGGTGGGGTTGGGGTGGGTCGGGGCAGCCGTGCTTGTTCTGCAGAAGCCGAGGGTCAGCACCATCCAGCCTTTACAGACGACGGCTGGAGAGGCCTAGGACCTGAGTTTGCAATGACATTAAGGCTCTGCTGAAAAGGGAATGTGGACTTCACCCACCCAATCCTGGATGGTCCTTTCTAGGAAGTGCCAGAGGAAGTACTGTTAGTCCTTGTAGCAGGTCTCTAGCTGCAGGGCAGACCTTACCCTAACACTGCAGACAGACTGGCAGGCGCAGGGCTGGCTGGGCACCCTGGCAGCCAAAGGGATCTCAGAGGCCGTCACTTCCCCTTGTGGGAGCTGTGCCAGGAGCTGGGCCCCTGGTGAGTGTGGACTGGTGGGGAGGGGCCATCGAATAGACTAAGTGATGATATAGCAACGACCCTAGTGGGGGGTGGTTCAGTCCCTCTCACCCCAATCGTGGAGTGTCTGAAAGGAGGAGAGAGTGCTGGAGCCTTTCACCCATCGGCAGACATCGTGGGTGAAGGAAGGCCCTCCCCACACCCATGCCTTGGCCCAGCCACCTCTCACCCTGGGTTGGGGGGGTTGTCTGGCCAGGTATTTCTTATCTTAGCCTGGTTTGGACTCCTTTTCTTTCTCCTTCACCCCCAGGATGACCAGGGTGGACCTCAGGAATTACCTTGAGCGCATTTACAACGTGCCCGTGGCTGCCGTGCGGACAAGGGTGCAGCACGGTGAGTGGGCATGCTAAGGGCTGGGCACTGCCCGCGTGTGCACAGACGCCCCCACCTGCTGAGCTGCAGCCTTGCAGCCACTCAGTGGGGTCTCCTGACTTGGTACATGAGGAAAACTGAGGCACGGAGGGGCTTGGGGTGACTTGCAGGGTCACTTGGTGCTTACATGACAGAGCCAGGTTTGGAACTCAGGCAGGCTGGCCCACGGTTTGCTCTGAGCACTGCCTCCAGCCCACCAGGACCACCTCCCCATTTGCTTCCTGTGGTGCCTCTGTCTCCTTCACTCCTTTCCTGAGTCCTTGCTGGTGCCCCTCCCACCTCGTGAGCCTGCTGTGCTGGCTCATTTCTCTGAGAAATCACCTTCCTGAGTTATTTTAGACACAGTTGAATTTTTAACAGAGCAAAGAGGTTCATTTTAGTGGCACTAGCCTCTGAAGCTATAACCAGTAAATTGGATAGTGCCCCTCCTAGGGTTGGGCATGCAATAATTTGTAGATTAGCAGTTCTGCCACATTGCCACCTCTTTCTAGAGAGGGGTTTGTGGATTCACTGGACCCCTCGTGCTCAGCAACCAGCCCTGTGCTTCCTTCCCCACTTCCAACAGGCTCCGGCAGGAAACGGGATTACAGAAATGTAAGGATAAAGAAGCCAGACTACAAGGTCGCCTACGTGCAGCTGGTGAGTGAGCAGCCCCAGGGCTCGTTCCAGCTGTGTCCTGGGGGATCCCTCGAGGGCAGGATCTCAGCTCACAGCGTGAGGCCAACCTTGTCCAAGGGCACTTGAGCAGACAGGCACGGAGACATCTTGAGGCATTCATGGCCGTCGGGGAGGTCGTGATTTTGGAGTTTGATGTGCTGTGGGCAAAGGTGGGCCTGCCCCAGGCTGGTGTCAAGCATCAAAGCCCACCTGCCCCTGGAGAGTTCATGCTTAGACAGACCTGGAGACAAAGTTTAATGCCCTGGGGGCAAAGGCCACTGCAGAAGGGTCCTCAGTTTCAGAGTCAGTCCCATCCCCCTGCACTGCATTGAGGACTCCAGCACGTTCCACCATGTTCTCCATCCCTCTGTGTGTGTCAGGAGCCAGGGTCTCTGGGGGAGAAGGGCCCCACACCACCTGAGCCTGTATTTACTGATGCCCATACTTGTCGGGAGTGAGACCCACATTTTCAAAGCCTCTTTGGGCTCTTCGTTTTCAGTCCAAGGTGAACCCTGACATGGGTTCAGTCTTCCCTTCTCAAATGTGCCTTAGACCAAGAGAGCCAGCAGCCAGGCTGGGGGGGCTCCTGCTCCTCTGACCTCAGCGGCCAGCCTGGGACGGCATTGCCTCTGTGGGATCTTCCAGGGAAGGCCCACTCAGCAGGGCCCATTAACTGGCCCCCCACTGTTCGAAACCTGCAGGGGTGGGGCGGGGGCTTCCTCCAATTTCTTCAGTTTCAGTGTAAACAGCCTCACTGGGGAGGGCCCTGCGGCCCCTGGTCGCTAGGTGGCAGTAGTGCTGTTATGGAGATATCCTCGTGGGCCAGCAGGCCTCTTTTGGGAATTAGGAGGCAGTTTGTTGAAGCCTGGGTTAGTGTGGGGCTCTTCTGAAAACAGTCACATTCGTTGTTCTAAGCAGGGGCCCCCGTGATTATGTGGCTTAATATTTGCTGTGCATAAAGTCAGCCAATCCAGGTGGAGAGCGCAGCCGTTGGCCTGATAAAGGCCTCTGTGTGTGGGTGTTAAAGCGGCCCGTCTGTCTGTGCTGTGGCATGCGGGGCGACATCCTATGTGCCGCCATTAGCCCCGAGTCACTTCAGAGGTTAGCTATAGTTACAAGTGGCTTTTGAGCCATCCGAGCCCTTACATTTTTCCCTGGGCCCCACCCCCTCATGAAAACTGAACTCGGCCGCGCTTAGATCTGTGTGCAGCTGCTGTGCGGCTCGGCTTTCTTCCCTGTGAAGTCCAGGCTGCCAGAGATAAGCAGGGCAACTGGGCGCCCCCAGGGCCCCTGCTGCGCATGGCTCCTCCGTTCCAAAATTAAAATTTGTAACGGGTTCCTTCCCGCCTTCCTGAACTATAGCAGATTTTTGTGCAGCCAACTGGCCGGGGTGGTGGGTCCCCATCCCCCCTTGAGGACCTGGGGACTCCCAGAGGTCCCTTCTTCGTGGCTTCCTCTCTAGTAACAGCCCATCGTGAAGCACACAGAGGGTCAATCTGAAAGACACATTAGATTATTGAGTTTATTTTGAGTTAGCTGCTGTGGAAAGGCTGGTCCCACATGGTGGGAGTCCCACATTTTTTCTCTGACAACCTGGTAAACATCTTTTTGGCCCTCAGTCCTGGTGGGAGCTGTAGTGAGCGCCTCAGTTACCCACAAAACAAAAAGAGCATTGACCGCCTGCCTCATGGAGACTCGTATTTACACAGAGTTGGTAAACATCTTTTTGGCCCTCAGTCCTGGTGGGAGCTGTAGTGAGCGCCTCAGTTACCCATAAAACAAAAAGAGCATTGACCGCCTGCCTCATGGAGACTCGTATTTACACAGAGTGGGGTTTGAATGAAGGGATCACACAGCCCTGCCCGGGCAGGCCACGTCCCCCTCCAGGCCAGGCTGCTGCAGCCAGGCGGGAGCACGTTCCACAGTCAGTGGCCCAAAAGGCTCCTGGGGAGGACTGAGGTCAGGGCCGGCTTTTCACTTTCATTAGGACATTTTCCTCCTTTCCTGTTCTTTGCTATTTTTCTCTCTCCTGTTTGGAAGAATTGAGGATTTTCTTTTTTAAGGTACAAGGTGAATTTCTCTAGAAAAGGGGAATCCCCAGGGAAGCCATACTGGGCACCCACAGATGGCTTTTGTCTCCTGTGAGGAACGAAGAATCTCTCTCACCAGCTTCCTCCGTGTTTTTCCCCAGCTATTGCAAATTGCCATCTTTGTGTTTATACTTTCAAATGTAATTTTGGGTTCCCCTGCCTCAGAAAACGAGCAGAATCACCTCGACATATTTAACATAAATCCCACAATGTGGACAATCAGCCCTGTATGTAAACTATTGCCCTTCGGTATTTTAAAAAAGGGGGGAAAAGTTTGAAATGTGTAAGATAATCCCCCTCGGGCGGGCTACCAGCACACACAGCCGCAGGCTCTCATGGCCCGCCACTCTGCGCCATGCGATCAGAACGTGTAAACCCTCCGTTCTCAGGGTGGAGTCTGTGGGCTGCTGCAGATCATACTTGGCTGCCTGCCCAAATCCAAATTTCTGTACAAAACAACAAGGATCTGCAAGAGCCAAGTGTGCTTTACTGATATTCCTTGTTAAAGTCTTCCAGGTACAGACTCTGCCCTCCACACTTCTTTACCTGTCTGGAAATGGGGGGCGGCTGCCAGCCCCTCTTTCCTCCTTATCTGTCCCCACCTGTCTTTGGAGCAGCTCAGTAATACTTAGCAAATAAAATGGCACCCTGTATTTGCTCAGGTCCCCAAAGAACAGTATTTCCTCCTGCTCAGTGACAGAGGGGCGCCGACGATGCCCCGACCCATGTGCTTGGAAGGCTGGGCTGGGACTTGGCCGATACTGACACAGCCTGAACTTTCAGTGAAAGACGTAAAACCAGTTAATTTGCAAAGCCGGTCTTGATTTATAGACTGCTGCATATGTACGTTTCTCTGCACATTGTGTGCATTTTATTTGCCAGGCTCTGAGCCAGGAGGAGGGGGAGCCTTTAATGTGGGTGAAAGCCGTTAGGTATCTGGGTGGGAAAGTTTCAGTGTGGCACCAGACGCCATTTGTGTCGTGTTTTTCTGTGCCTCTTTCCTGCCCCCAGTTCCACCGGGCTGTCCCCGCGGTCGTGAATGGGGGCTTTGCTGGGCTGCTTTTAATGAGCCTGGGACTGGTATAGACAGCAGCGTGAAGAGATAATGTCCATGCAAAAGGGCATTGTCCCAGAGTAATGGCTCCTGCTGCTAGATAAGAGGCTGGAGGTCTGGCCGGCCAGGACATCTGTCTTCCAGGCGGGGACACGGCTCCAGAGACACTGACCGTACATCCATCCTCTGCAGCGAGGGTCAAGGGTCGGGCCGGGTACTGATCTTGAGCAGTTCAAGCAGGAGTGCGAAGGTGTAGCTCCGGAGAGTCTGGCCGCTCTGTGCTGCAGCCTTGTCCTCTCCCGTAGGCCCATGGACAGACCTTCACATTCCCAGATCTGTTTCCCGAGAAGGAGCAGAGCTGTGAAGGCGGCTCTGCCCACGATGCCCAGAGCATGCTCCTGGAGCAGGAGCAGCAGCGGCAGCAGCAGCGGCATGGTGACCCCCGGCGTGGCGGCATCCCTGACTGGTTCAGCCTGTGATAAGGCCTCCTGTGGGGACCCAGGCCCCTGGTGGTGCAGCCACAGAGCAGCTCTGACAGTCCAAATAAAAGTCCTGTTGTGTGGGAAAGAGCCGGAAGCTTTGTTTCCTCTCTTCTTGGGCACTGGGCCTCAGACATGCAGCCGTGGCCTCCTCTGCAGCGGGGAAGCCCCTGCGGCCCTGGGAGTGCGGTGGGCAGCCTGGGTTTGCTCTCCCTGGAAGCCATGGCTGCACCGTGCGCGGAATCTGGGCAGCGGGTGAGGCCAGAAGCTGGTCTGGTCTCGTGAGTTTGCAGGGAGCAGGGACAGCCTCACACAGGCTAGGAGTGCCATTTTAGTTGGGGAATGAGACACACGAGGAAAAGCACTGGGAGAGGCCACGTTTAAAGCTTGAGTTCAGAGTGCTGGGAGGAGGGTTAGCATGAGCACAGGCAGACGGTGCCGGGTCGGGGGCATGTGCTGGGCCCAGGCTGGGCGTGAAGAAGAACCACCAGGTCTGCCTCCCTCGGGGAGGGAGCCCTGTCCAGGCCTAGTGGAAGGAGAGCCAGAGATCAGAGCAAAGCTGGGGCCGGGGCAATGAGACAGGGAGGACGGTGACTCAGATCAGGCCTGGTCAGCCATCACTTCAAAACTGAAGTTTTATGGATTATCGCAGCCCTGTGCAGAAAAGACACACGGGGAAAGGAGAGTCCGGTCAGCGATGCCCGGGGCCCATGGTGTCCTGGTGACCTTGGCTGGGGCCCTTGTTCCCGGGCCTGGGTGTGCATCCTCCTCTCCTAGGCAGCTGCCGCTCCCAGCCCCAGGCCCATCCTCTGGGGCGGGGCAGGCACATGCCATGTCTCTTCCTGGACTTCTTCTGGGTGGGCCGGCCCGTCTTCTTGCTTCAGTGAGGCTGGATGGGGCGGCTGGGGCGGCCCCACACCCCTGGACTGGATGTGCATGTGACTTTTGGTTTCGGTCGTGTTTTACGTTGCACCTTCCTAAGAAGCCGAGAGGGTTTCTAGCCCCTCCTCCCTGGCCCTGCGGTCAGTGAGCACTGTGTTGAGAATGGGGGTTGGGGTCCAGAGAGACTCCAGGGCTGCATGGGCCCAGGTCTCCTGACGCCCCTTGGGCCTGGTCATGGAGCAGTGGCAGACGCGTTCTCAGAGAGCCGGCCCCAGAAGACCGGGGGCTCAAATCTGTTGTTCTTAACTTTTTTTTTTGGTGGCTGGCTGGTACAGGGATGGAACCCTGGATCTTGGTGTTGTCAGCACCACGCTGAGCATTGAGCTACCCTACCAGCCCTGTCTTTCTTAACTTCTTGTTGGTTTTAGTGCTTCCCCCAGAAAACAAGAGGCACGAGAGGACCCTGCAGTGTCCCTGCTGCTGTGATTGGAAGTTCGGGATTAAAACCAGGAGTCAGGTGTGGCTTGGAATGACCCACGTGGCAGTGGTCCTCACCACCCTGCCCTGACTGGCTCTGTGGTGTCGCTGGAAGAGCCCATGTCATGGTCCTCACTGTGTCCACTGTTGCGTTTCATCTAAAAGCTTCCATGTTACAACTGTGAAACCTGAGGTGAAGCCCCCTGCCAGGGGGTCAGGGCAGCACAGATGTGGAGCTGGCAAAGCCCAGCACGCCCAGGTTCACAGGAGCCCAGCAGGCAGGGCTGCCTTCTTCCCCAAGGGGCTTCACATCCGCGTCCAGGTGGACACAAGGCTGAGGCCCGAGCCCCGTCCTTTGTGGACAACAGCCACTCAGACACACGGCTGCCATCTGAAGACACACTTGGTGCTGGAATGGGTCTGCTCAGGATGCCAAGGAGCAGACAGACCCCCAAATCTGTGTCAGGATGGAGAGGGCCCCGCAAGGGCCACCGCGCCAAAGCAGTCCTTCCATATGCATTAGCGGCTTGCCACACAGCCGTGTGAACAGGCAACATGGGGGCTTCCAGTGCAGGCTGAGCCCCGCAGGGCCAGAGGCGTCTGTGTGGCAGGGGCCCGCCATGGGATAGAGAGGACAGCTGTGACCTGAGGGAGCAGGCATGGGCCGTGAGGGGCGCACCAGAGGGGCTTGGGTGGTCAGTTGGGCAGTGAGTGGGAATGGGGACCAGGGACGGGGCCACCACATGAATGTAGTAGAAGGAGAGAAGCCACGTGGGGCTTTAGGTGGCTGACAGGACGACAGAGAGCTCCCGTGTGTGTGCTCGCTCAGGCTTGGTGCTGGGAAGAGAGGCTTGGCCTGCAGGTTTGAGAGCACCATGGGGGTGCTCGGGAGAGCCAGCCGCACCGGAAGTGCAGGTGCCACATGGCCACCTGGCTGCCGTCTTGGTTCTGGGCCTGGCTCCTCTCTGCAGGGGCAGCCTCCCCCAGCCTGGGGCTGCAGGCAGGAGGGACACCCTGGGCTAGGGGTAAGGGCCCAGCAGACTCCACGCTTGGTGCTGATTTAAGGGATGAGGAAGGTCGGGAAGTAGAGCTGGAGAAGCAGAGTCAGCTGTGTTTTCCTTAGAGAAGTAATTCACGAGGCCCCAGAGCCCGGAGGGCCCTAACTCACTCACAGCAGGGGGAGCAGCCCCATCCTTCACCGGGGCGCTTCCAGAGCCGGCTGGCCCCGCGCACAGGGACTGTCAACCGCCCGCCACGGGGGCGCCAGGCGGCGCAGCCAAGGTCACTCTTCATCACGGCCCTGCCACGGCCACCCCCAGACGCAGCCCTAGCTCCTCCTCCAGCCGTCCGGCCTCCGGACCCTCCTTCCTGCCCAGCCGTCGCCCCAGCCTGTGCTGTCCTCCTACAGCCCCTGACATTCCCCTGCAGGCCTGGGCATCCGTGGCTCATGCTTTCTGCGGGGAGGGGCGAGGGGCCGCAGGCTGCTGCACCCTTGATCTCCGGAGCACCCCGGGCGGCTCCCTGGGCAGAGCAGGACAGGGGTGCAGTGGGGTGGGGTCTGGTTCAGAGCAGAGTTGCCTGCGGTGAGCTGGGCTTGGGTTGGGATGCTGGGGTGTCCCTTGGCCAGAGGCACACACTGCAGCCCATAGGCCTGTTCTCACATAGCACAGAGAGGCCCTGCTATGGGTAGGTGTGGGTGGACACGGAGGCAGGAACAGGTGGGCATCTCCCTGCCCTGCCCTCCCAGAAACGCTGACCCCCAGTCCTCAGTGGGCCCCCCTTTGCACCCTCTGCCCTGCAGACAGCCAGCTGACCCCAGAAAGGGGCTGGCTGGGGTAGAACCTCGAGAGGTCCCTTCTCTGTTCTCCCTCCCCACCTCCCCCCTCTCGTCCCCACCTTCCCCCTGTGGTCCACACCTGCCTCATGTGACAGAGGAGCACAGAACAGCCCCATTCAGGCAGGCGTGGGCAGGCAGCGCCCCTCAGTCCTGGAGGCCCAGCCTCCCCTGAGAGCCCTGCACACAAGGCTGGTGGGGCTAAGCCGGGATGAGGTGGAGAGAAGGGTCTGCAGGTCAGGACACACAGGGGTGGGATGCTCAGAAGTCAGGCACTCTCAAGGCCACGAGAAGGAGCTAGCTGGACCCCCGCCCCTCCTGGAAACTGCTGCCTGTCTCGAGGCTCGGGGAGGAAGACCAGCGAACTGGCGGGCCCGTCTCTGCTGCCAAGACAAGGGGCCTCACAGGCCAGCTTCCTGTGACTCCGTTTCCCTTTCTCTTGTGCAGTCAGGAGATGGTGGTGCAGACTTTGGTCCCAGCAGCCTCGGCCCACTGCATACCTTGGCACAACCCCACCCAGCCCACACGGCCTTCCGTTCCTGCAGAGGGAACTTGACTGAAAGATCCCTATCTCGAGGCTGATGAGGACAATGCCCACCTTTGCCCGGACACTCTCATGCATGGCAGGGAGGGGAGAGAGGCCCTGACCCAGGAGATGGCCCAGGTGGGCCTGGGGAGCGGGGAGGAGGCCAGCGGGTGCCGACCCCACTGCACCACGCCCCCATCTTCTGTGATGCCTGCCCCGTGGGGGGAGGCAGAGTCTGCTGGTGACTGACAGCTGCAGCAGGCCTGTCACAGCTCCAGGTAACCCTCTGGCCAGTGCCCCTCCTGTCACCATCTGGTTCCCCCTTGCTCGGCCTGGCCCACTGGGAACCTCATTCTGCCCTCCCCACCCCTGCGCGTGTGTCAGGCCCCTCTGCAGAGAGCCAGCGGGCACACGCCCTGGCCTCTGCAGCCTGGGCCCCACCCTGGGGCTCCCTGTCTTCCAGCCTCTATATCCTTCATTGCGGACCTTTTCCCCTGGGGCAGGGGACCCAAGCCCTGAGACATAGCAGTTCCTCCTGTCCTCCTGGTCTTAGAGGAAGCCAGAGATATCATGTCCCCCCGCCCCAAGGTAGCACAGGAGCGACAGGGATGTCTGTCCCAGGGCTCCCTCCCACCCCCAGACTTCCGTGTGATTCTAACGTGTCAGCTGAGAGAGGAAGGGAGGGAGTGTGGGAGTAGCCTGTGAGCCCCCAAATGCAGAGGTCAGCACCATGGGTGGGGAGCTGCTGCCCCTACTTGCGTTTGCAAGCTGTGCTCGGCCGTGGCCTGGGGGCCTGGCCTCCCCTGCCCGGCCATGCCGTGGCTGCTCCCCTGCGTCGCGCAGGCACGACAGGGCCGGCCTCACGCGCTCCTCTGAACAGCTTTACTGAGAGGTCGCTCACGTTCCATCATTCAGTTGCTCCTGGTGTGTCCCCAGAGCTGTGTGTCTATCACCGAGTGACTGTAGAGCATTCTTAACATCCTGAAAAGCAACCCCACAGCCCTTAGCCCTCCCGTGCCCTCCTACCCCAGGCCCTGGCAGCCACCAGTCTCCCCGTCTCTGTGGATTTCCTGTTCCAGGCACTCCATAGAAACGGGATCACACACCATGTGGTATTCTGTGCTGGTTCTTTCACTCGGCCCAACGTCCCAAGGTCCATCCGTGTGGTGGTGTCTATCAGAATGCCTGGACTTTTCAGGACTGAGTATCATTCCACTGCTTGGAAGGACCACGTCCTGTTGGTCCCTTCCTCCCTCGACGGACGCTCGCGGAGCCCCCACCTTTTGTGTGGACGTGTTTCTCGGTCCTCCTGGGGGGCTGAGTACTCTCTCTCTCTTGCCTGGAACATTAATGAGAGGCTTTCTAGCCTCCCCGCTGG